TTATTTAAGAATGTACATTTTTTACAGCACAAATACAGAAAAATGGCTAGAGTTCTTCTGTTCTCACCATTTTATTTGCCTTAAAGCTTGCCTCCTGTCAGTACGATTTTGAATATACATATGCATAACTCAAATATGCTTTATGCAGAACAGGTCAAGTAGCCTATCATTCAAGAGCCTTTGATCCCCTATATGTGTAAATTCTATTTGTGTGCATGTAATCATTCTTGTAGGTGAAGTTAAAAATATGAAGTGTAAACCTACTTATTAATCTAGAATTTCTAGTGAAAGCCATTAATGGTATTTAAGGAACTTAATGCCTCGGTACTCAAGGCAAAGCTCTTTTGTTTTTTCCTGTACGCCTAAACTGTGATTGGTCCAACAAAGATGTGTGACCATCCCACCTGGTGCTGGAATCCATCTTGAATTTGGTATTTTTCCATTGGGCTGGGGAGGATGAAACAAAGGATTCCTACCTTGGGGAAATTCTATTTAAGGGTTAGATAACAATGAATGATAGTCTTCATCTGGTTTTTGAAAACTGCCTCCCCTCCCTAAGAGTATACACAAGAAGATTTTAGACCGAGGCCAGAAAAAACATCAGCTCTGAGTTGAAGTATTTTACCTGAAATCAAGACTAGGGTGAGAAATACGATTTGTAACCCTCTCTCTTAGGGTAAGTCTACACTGCGGAGCTATTTTGGGGTACTGGAATTATCCCAAAATAGCTACTCCGTGTCTATTGAAGCAACCCGTTATTTCGAAATAGATTACACGAGAGTTAAGGTGAATTTCGAAATAAGATGTTATTTCAAAATTTGGCACTGTGTAGCCAGCACCAAATTAAGAAATAAGCTATTTTGAAATACGATAGAAATAAACTACTCTATTTGCTATGTAGATGCACCTTTAGGCTATGTCTAGACTGGCATGATTTTCCGCAAATGCTTTTAATGGAAAAGTTTTCTGATAATAGCATTTGCGGAAAAGAGCGGCTAGATTAGCATGGACGCTTTTCCGCAAAAGCACTTTTTGCGGAAAAGCGTCTGTACCAATCTAGACGTGCTTTTGCGCAAAAAAGCCCCGATCGCCATTTTCGCGATGGGGCTTTTTTGCGCAAAACAAATCTGAGCTGTCTACACTGGCCCTTTTGCGCAAAAGGACTTTTGCCTGAACGGGAGCAGCATAGCATTTCCGCAAAAAGCACTGATTTCTTACAGTAGGAAGTCAGTGCTTTTGCGGAAATTCAAGCGGCCAGTGTAGACAGCTGGCAAGTTTTTCCGAAGCGGAAAA